AATAAGGAAAAATCAGTACATATAGTCTTCTCATTGAGAAATTATAACCATATTCCAATTCATATCGATGCCACAAAAATTCCACACGCCAATGAAGCCAAATATCTGGACATTACGCTCGACGCTAAGCTGCGCTGGAAAGCGCATGTTAAGAAAAAACGAGAAGAGCTTGACCTAAAACTAAACAAATTTTACCACCTTATAGGCAGGCGCTCTAAACTGGCACTCCACAACAAACTAATAGTCTATAAACAAATACTGAAGCCGGCTTGGAGTTATGGCATACAATTCTGGGGTTGTGTCAGCAAGAAATACATTGCAGCTATCCAGCGCTTTCAAAATAAAGTACTACGATGCATCGTAAATGCTCCATATTACATTAGAAACGGTGATCTCCACCGTGACCTTGACATACCAAGAGTCGACGTCGTGGCAAAAAGGTGTGCCATTGCTCACAAACAGCGATTGAAAACACATGTCAACGTTAGAGCATCCCGTCTTCTCCAGGTGGTTACAATACCTAGACGGCTAAAAAGGAAAACAGTGGCAGACTTAATGAACAGCGAGTAGCAAAATAGCTTCATTTTTTACCTTAAATATTCAAATCAAATTGCTTATTAGTACCTTTTTTTGTTATTTGTACTAGGTGCAATATTAAAACGATTTTTGTTTTTAGTTGAAGAATCGTTAATAAAAAACAAAAAACAAAAAAAAAAAAAAATGCAATGCCCAAAATACGTCATACGCTTCTGTTGGCACATGAAAACAAAAGCGTCAAATTTCGTCTGCAAGAAAATGCACTCTTGCAGTTTGCAATAAGTTCATTGTTTGGCATGCATGGTCAAGGTTATTTTAGTTAATTTATTTGTTGTAAATTAATTATCAATTTTAAATAAAAGGCACAATTGAATTTTTGACAATTCAATTGATGCGAAGCCACATTCGTTATCGATTCTTTTCTGTTCGTTCTAATAGCTTGTAGAGTTGGTTCAAGTACCAAATTTACACCATATAAGCACCTGACTACTGGATTCAAGTGTTCAGTAATCAGGATAATTTAGGACAATCGTCAAATCACTGGATTCAAGTGCTCAGTGGTTTTCTTGTTTAAATAGAATCAACATAAGTACTGGATTCAAGTGTTCAGTGCTTGCAAATAGTTGATTCCAACGTTGATCAGACATTTTGGTTTGATCGTACATTTTTTGGTGACCCCGTGAAACGGACAGCAGCACAGGATTGGTTCGACGCAGCAACAGTCAACAATCAACAGTTAGCGGTTAAGTTTCAGCATTCAGCATTCGAAGAACATTTTGAAGCACGTTTGGCAAAAACTCCAGAATAACGATGGCAACAATCAAAGCAACAGACAACTTTGGTGAAGCTGCTAGTAACCAAAAGGCATCACAGCCGCTACTAGTGGCTACGACAAATGGTTTGATAAGAAAAACATCTGCTCGAATGGCAGCTCTAAAAAGATTAGTAGAGAGCTTGTCAGAGAGCGAAGGCATACAGCTACTTCAATATTACGAAATTAAATCAAACACAATCATGCAACATTGGAACCAATTGGGATGTTTGCATGATGAACTCTGGGAAAACTTTGAAAATCCACTGATGTCAGGATTCAATCAAGATGAGTATTACCAAATTGAAGATTTGGTACAACAATGTTTGATAGAGTTGTCCATAAAATTGGATCAACTACGAAACAAACAAGCAACAGTAGCAGAACCAAACATGCGGTCCTCATTGCCATTGCCAAAGGTAACAATCCCAAATTTTAATGGGAATTACTTAAAATGGAGGCAATTTTTTGACTTGTTTACACAAATGGTAGACAATCAGCCATTACCAGCTGCTCAAAAAATGTGGTACTTGAAATCACATGTGACAGGTGAAGCTGAAAAATTGATAAGTCATTTCAGCATAACGGAGGACAATTATTGGGCAGCTTGGACATTACTGCAAGACCGTTATAATAATAAAAGGGTCTTGGCGTCCACGTTAATCGATGAACTTCTAAATCAGCCATCATTCACATCAACTGTGGCAGCAGTTAAAAATTTACATGACACAACGAAAGAGTGTCTATTAGCACTAAACCATCTTGGCGTTCAAACGACTTTTTGGGACCCAATTTTGTTACAAGTACTAATTAAAAAACTCGATCAGGCGATGCTCATTAGATATGAGCAATCTCTGGCAAAAATAAAAGAGATACAAAACATTCAGGAGTTTTTAGCCTTTTTAGAACTACAGTTCCAACTGATGGAAGTTGTAGAACAAAAAGATAAGGTGGCTATAAAAATTAAAGCAAATCGAAATAACTCAGTGTCATCGGCTGTAACAGTTTCTAAAGGAAACAACAATTGCAAACTGTGCAATGTAGACAGGCACCCACTGTATCATTGCCGTAAATTCTTGCAATTTTCACCATCTCAACGATTGGATTGGGTGAAAAATCAACAGCTCTGTTTTAACTGTTTCAGAAATGATTATGTGGTGAACAAATGTTCATCAAGAAGTTGTACCAAATGTAATAAAAAGCATAACACGTTGCTACATTTGGAAGTTAACAACGAAACAAAACAGAACATTCAACCTAGCTCAAGTGGGTACAACACCGCAGTTACCACAGCGACAGCGAACACATCCACAGGTCATCGTCTCTGAGCGTCTTGTCAAAAGGCTCAATATATCAAAAACAAAATCGTTATTGTGCATAGAAGGGATAGGAAAGGTGCAAAAAAATTCAATGCAGCGAGTTAACATCAAATTGCAATCACTTAACTCAAGGTTTACTACAGAAGTCGAAGCGTTTGTGCTTCCAAATATAGTTCCACCTCAACCAAGTTGCAGCTACGATATTTCCATTCAGCATTCAGTTAGCAGATCCAACATTTTTCCAACAAGAGAAAATTGATATTTTACTCGGTGCGGAGTTCTATTTCAGTCTGTTAAAAAAGGGTAAAATCACGCTTGCTCCTGGGCTTCCAGGTTGCATCAAATACAGACACATCAAACGTTTTATGTGCAGTTTTTGGCGGTGGGGCGGAGGTTGTTGATAATAATTCATCGTTAGAAGATGCAATTGAACGATTATGGCGAATGGATGAGGTGAATACAACAGAAAGGACATTATCCAAAGAAGAAAAATTATGCGAATCTCATTTTGTGCAGAACGTCCATACAAATAAAGAAGGACGTTTTGTGGTAAGGTTGCCGTTTCTGGAAAACTCATTGACGTTAGGGAAATCTCAAGAAACAGCTTGGAGAAGATTCATCAGTCTTGAACGACGACTAGCAAAAAATGATGTTTTGCGGAAACAATATGTCTAGTTTATGGAAGAGTATGAGCGATTGGGTCACATGACCGAAGTAAACTTGGATTCCATGTTGACTCCAAGATATTTCATTCCTCATCATTGCGTACTAAAACCAGATAGTACAACTACTAAACTTCGAGTGATGTTTGACGCATCAGCCAAAACTACATCTGGACACTCGTTGAATGATTTAATGTATAACGGACCGACAGTTCAAAGTGAACTCTTTTCAATTCTGCTCCGGTTTAGGCGACCACGGTTTGTTTTTACCACAGATATCGAGAAAATGTATCGTCAAGTTTTGATAAATCCTGAAGATCGACGCTATCAACTTATCATTTGGAGAAGCAGTCCAAATTCAACGAAGCGTTATTATCAGCTAAACACAATTACATTTGGAACTCGAGCAGCTCCTTACCTAGCAACAAGATGTCTGCAAAAGATAGCATTAGAAAATAAAGTGAATTATCCATTAGGAGCTCAAATCCTGTGTGACAATTTCTACGTTGACGATGGGCTCGGTGGATCAGATAGTTTAATTATGGCTATTGAAGCTCAAAGGCAATTAATCCATATTTTAAAGAAGCATCAGTTTTATCTACGGAAATGGAGTGCAAACCATCCTCAACTTTTGAAAAACATTTCTCAAGATGATTAAGAGGTAAATCTAGATTTTACTAATGATAATAACGAGTCAATCAAAACGCTGGGACTATTTTGGTTGCCCAAAGCGGATTTATTTGGAATTAAGGTCCAAATGGTTACTGAAGGAATAATCACGACGAGAGTCGTTAGTTCTGATTTAGCTAGACTGTTCGACCCACTTGGTTTATTAGCTCCAGTAATAGTCAAAGCAAAGATTTTCATACAACACTTATGGCAGTTGAAATTATCTTGGGATGAACCACTTCCTACAGATCTTTGTACAACATGGTCAACATTTAGAGAAAACTTAAGTACTCTAAAAAACTTTCAAGTGGCAAGACATATCTTCAGAGGCGAGGTTCCATCATCAACACAACTACACATTTTTGCTGATGCATCTGAAAAGGCATTTGGTGCTGCAGCATATGTCAGAGCAATTTTAAAGGATGGTAGAATAATAGTATTATGTGCAAAGTCAAGAGTAGCACCACTCAGAAAACAAACGCTACCGCGACTAGAGTTATGTGCGGCAGTCCTAGCAGCGGAACTCTCAGCAAGAGTCAAAAGCGATCTTCAAGAGAAGGACCAGCCGGTATTTTTGTGGACAGATTCAGAAATTGTGTTTTCTTGGATTAATTCACAGTCTTCATCATTTCAAACATTTGTAGCTAACAGGGCGGCAAGAATTCAAACTTTAACTCTGTCTGAACAGTGGCGACATGTTAGGTCAAAGGACAACCCAGCTGATGTGTTATCAAGAGGACTTTCAGCAAGGGCGTTGTCAACATGTGCACTTTGGTTTCAAGGACCGTTTTTTTTGCATGGAAAGCGGGAAGTATGGCCACCAAGGTTTTCATCATCATTATAAGTTCCAGCCGATCTGGAGAAGAAGAAGGTTGTAGCTGTAGCAACTCAAAGCAATGACGCAGATTTCATATACAGGATTCAGCATAAGAATTCATTTAAGACGTTACAAAAGATAGTAGCATATGTTCTTAGATTCACTAACAACGCAAGAAAATCAAAGGAGTCACGTGCCACACATATAGTACTAAGTGCCAACGAATTGGATGCAGCATTAATAACTATAATATGTCACATTCAGGGTAATGATTTTCATGAAGAAATCAAACAACTGAAGAAACAAGGTCATGTTGATAAATCTAGTTCAATCAGTAGTTTATCTCCATTCATTGATAATGCAAATGTTCTTAGAGTAGAAGGACGTTTAGAGGCCTCATCATTACCATACGATTCTAAACACCCAATGCTGATCCCATACAATGATCCATTGGAAAAATTATTATTCGTGATGTTCCATGAAGAAAACAAACACTGTGGCCCGCAGGCACTATTGAGTACAGTCCGACAACGTTTTTGGCCGATTAAAGGTAAATCAACAGCCAGAGCAACGGTTCAGCGATGCATTCGATGCAACAAAGCACGTCCGCAACTATGCCAACAAATTATGGGTAATTTACCAGAATCAAGGATAACTCCTGCAAGACCCTTCATTAATGCTGGCGTAGATTATTGCGGACCAATATATGCCAACAAAGGCATATATTGCTGTCTTTTGTTGCTTTTCTACAAAGGCGGTACATCTCGAGTTAGTGACCGACTTATCAACAAATGCTTTCATTGGAGCATTAAAACGATTTATAAGTCGACGAGGGCGTTGTTTGAATATTTACAGTGATAACGCAACAAACTTCGTAGGCGCCAAAAACCAGTTAGCAGATCTAGAGAAAAGTATTTATTCTAATGAAGGGCAAGAAGCAGTAATCTCTGCTTGCAGTACTACAGGAATAAACTTTCATTTTATTCCACCAAGGGCTCCACACTTTGGCGGTTTATGGAAGCATCCGTAAAGTCCGCAAAATATTTGTTACTACGCAGCTTTTCAACAGCATCATTGCCGTATGAAGAACTCGAAACAGTAGTGGTTGAAATTGAAGCGATATTAAATTCACGACCATTGACTCCAATGTCCAATGATCCAACTGATTTGACAGAATTAACTCCAGGACACTTATTAATTGGAGAAGCTCTTACAACTCATGTAGACAGCCGATCGAAACCAGAAAAACACACGTTATTGTCACGTTGGAACCTAGTTTCCCAGTTAAAACATAATTTCTGGAAACGCTGGTCTAACGAATATTTGATGGAACTGCAACAACGTAACAAATGGAAAACACAATCTGCCAACATACAGTTGGGAGACATGGTTATAATCAAAGAAGATAACGTCCCAGTGATGCGTCAACGTCAAGGAGCTTGGCTCCGCTATTAAATTCGCTTTTCCCAATGCTGTTTATGAGTTTAAGTGCGTAAACAGCACAACCACGCGTATCCTTACTAAGAGTAAGGATACCTTTTACAACATCAGTTCTCTGCTCCGTGAGCAGAAAATCAAGAGTTTTGCCTCCATTCCCTCTGAGGACCGAATCACTCCTGTGCTCCTTAAGAACTTTCCCTCATCCTATGATGAGGATGATTTGAAGTCAGCGTTGGTGACGGACTTACCTGAGTTCTCCTTTTCGAAGGTCTCCAAGTTTACGCCCCCCGCGCGCTTCACAAAGCGTAATCCCTCCCGATATGCCAATACCTGCATTTGGGAACTTCATCCTGTCCCTTCAACGGACATTAAATCCCTCTTAAGTGTTAAGCGGCTTCCATCGCTTAACATTATTATATCACTGGAGCAGAAATCTCGGAATGAGATCCCTCAATGCTCTAACTGCCAACGCTACTTTCACACAGCTAAGCTGTGCAACTACCCCCATCGTTGTGTGCGCTGTGGTGAGACACATACTCGTGGCGAGTGTCAACTTCCTCCTCCTGCTTTTGACCCAGTCACTCAGGAGCAACTTGCAGCCACTATTCCCAAGTGCTGTAATTGTGGTCAGACTGGTCATCCGGCCAACTACCGCTGCTCCAAATTTAAGGAGTTGCGTTTTCTTCGCGCCAGTAAGACTCGTGCGCAAAAAATCCCCCCCCTCATGTCTATCGACCTGAGGGCTCCAATAAATTTCGTGAGACCTGGAGTCTCATTTGCCTCTGCGGCAAAAGCTGCAACCCCCAAGCCTACTTCGCTGCCTAAAGCAGCTAAATCTTCCCCTATTCGTACTCTTGAGCCTGACTCCTTTCTCCCTGATATTCAGGGAATCTTCGCCTTTGCTGCAGGCATTAAACAGCAGTACAGCCTTTTGCCCCATTCTGACAAGAAAGCCTTTCTTGTCCAGAAAGTTCTCGAATTGGCATTGAGATGAATGATCTAAAGATCATTCTCATTAATGTCAATTCTATACACTCCATTCTTAGGCGTACTTTTTTAGCGGATTTTGCTGAACGCAACAACCCCCATATCATCCTTGTGACTGAAACACGGCTCAATTACAGAGACGTTGTTGATGTCAGAGGATATAATTTTATCCGGTTCGATAGGGACGGCATCGGTGGGGGAGTCGCCATTTTGGCAAAAGACTCTCTCAAGTGTTCTAGGATTCACATCCCTTCACTTGTTTCTCTTGAGGCGGTTGGCATTACTCTTTCTCTCTCCAACCGCCCTGATCTTAACATCTTTTGCGTCTACCACACTCCCTCTATTGCTTCGTGCATTGTCCCTTGTGATCTGGGCACCCTTGCCTCCTTGTCCCCTAACCCTTTCCTTATCGGTGGTGACTTCAATAGTAAGCA